ACAGGTTGGGGAGGAAATGAATAGCTAATGGCAGGATTAAATAAGATCTTTTCCCGGCTTCCAAAAAAAAAAAAAAAAAAAAAAAAAAAAAAAAAAAAAAAAAAGCACTGAAGATTAGAAACTTAGTTGACTTACTATTATGTAAATTTGATTTATTAAGATAAGGAGGAAGATGGCTCAGTGTAGTCTCTGTGGTCTCACTTGTCAACAAAGAAATACTTGTGACACACAAGTATTGGCTTGTGTGGCTTTCTTCTGTTATCAAACTCTCATAACAACATGGATAAACCTCCCACTCCTCATTAGTATATATTTCAAGTGATGGACAATTAGCGTGTTACCTCCACCCACATGCTGAAGCTGCTCTGTTGTATCTTTGTATATCTGTCTTTGTAAAGTAATTCTTTGTTTAGCTTTTTTCTAAGGTAATTTGGATTGTAGAACTCATTAACCTCAGAGTAATGGGAGGATAAATGAAAATGTGACATAAGATAGTGTAGTGTAGTTTGAGTAAATAAATTATTTACAGCAAATAATTTTATATTTTAAATTTATTTATATTTAGTAAAATAACCATTTGCATTCTGCTAAAACATTTTACCTTTAAGGGAGCTGTTCTTCATACAACATAGGCAAAATTCTGGCAATTCAGGCAACCACATCCTTAGTCTTCAAAAGAAAAAGGAAATAGGCTATAGTTTAACACGGTCCATCAAATTCTACAGCAGTTCTTACATTAAAAATTGTTATTGTTCTAAATAGTGTCCTACTTTGAAACTAGAAACTTAGGCTAATATAAGTCCTATGGGTCACAGACAGCAGTCATCTTGGTTTCACGGGAAGCATTGTTACACTATTTCTATTACTCCAGATTTGTTGTCTCAAGGTGCATGTTTTGCTCTCACTACAGAAAACTGATCATGCCCTGTTTTGCCTCAAGATATTTTTCATTATTTCAGTGAATTGATGGTCTGATCATTCAATTAAAAGTTAGTTTACCTTCCTAGGAATATTATTTAAGTTGTTAAAAGGTAGAATTCCTCTTTGGGTTTCAAAATGAAGTTTTTGGGTATTAGGTATTCCAGTGGTCCTCCCCTAGGCAATCACTGTGTGATTACTTTTAAACCAAGTACACTGGCTTAATGATATGCCGTTTGGAAGGAGATTGTATCCCAGGTCTTTCAGAAGAGAGGAGAGTTTCTTTGTACAAATTATTTTGTTTGTATAAAGGAAGTCAGAAATGCATGTACCATGGCTACTTCTGTTTTATCTGTAGGCAAGTCTTTTCAGATATACAGAGAATAATTACTTCTAGAAGGAATAATTTGAATAATAGTCTAGTAGTATTAGTAATTATAATAATAACAACAACAATAATAATGCAGTTTGGAGTAGTGCAATGAAGAAAGTAGCCATAACACATACGTGCTGGCTTTTCTGTGTGGAAAGAGAGAATCCAGGAATCTCAACAGCAAGTGACTTGGCTGAGGATAGAACTGAAGTGGTAATTTAATTAAAAATTGTAATTTACAATCTCTATTAAAAAAAATCATTCACCATATGTTGTACAGAAACAGGCTTGCCTCTGAGAGAAGCCACAACACTGGTGCTTTCAGCTGGGGCTCTGAATTTCAACAGTGGTGATTTCCTCTTCCCATGAATATTGTCAGCAGCATTCATTGTCTCGGAGCTACATTCTCTCTAAGCATGGTTTGAATACTGTAGGAGTACCAGCAAATTCTCCTCTTACATCCACTTTGTATCACTATTACCACAGAATCAAATTGCTTGGGATATTATCTATCAGTGTGTTCCCATAAATTAGAGGGCAGCACAGAGGGTACAGTACATAAGTAAATATGCACAGCTGCTGCCTGTATGACTGGGTCTGCCTTCTTCATTGTGAGAATTTCTGTGGATCTCAGACAAGAAAATAGGTTAGTGGCTAAATGAATGTAGGATTTCATCTTCATTGGGTGCTTGTTATACATCTGTGGGTCGTTGTTGGATACCTGGGAATTTGCAGCTTTTTGTAAAATTTTACCAAGTCACAGTTCCTTTGTTTATCCAGCTGGAAGGATGTCCTGCAGAAAAGGTGAAAAGTTCTGTTGCAATAAGCATTGGGAAAGGAAAAAAGGAAGGAAGGAAGGAAGGAAGGAAGGAAGGAAGGAAGGTGGAGGAGAACAGAGGAACAAGCAGAGAAGGAGTTGTGCATATCCTAAAGGATAAGGACATCAACTTTAACTGTGAAACCAAGGAGGAAAATAACTAAAATACCCTTTAAAAGGTTAAGAAAGTTATTATATTTAAGAAAAATAATCTTAGTACCCTCACAGAAGTTGCACAATTTAGCTCTCATCATGGAATCAAGGGTTGTGATAAACTCCTTGGATGATCTGCAAGTGTCTACAATGGTTTTGTCCACATCTGAGCCACTCACTCTCATTTTTTAATCATGGGAGAGAAGGGGAAATATTTTGGATACATTTACCTTCTAAAATTTACCTCTAAAACAGACAAGAAAAAGCATACACTGAAAGTACCAGTTTCTTTCCACTGGAGGCTACAGTGTGCAGCCATCTGTAGAATTTCCCTTCCAGATATCTAAAATCACAGGAAATGAATTCTACCTGAAAGACACTAAATCATTTCATGACTAAATGTGGTGATGGACTCTCTACATCATGCAGTTTTCTCCCACTCTCAGTTTATCAGGTTTATTTTAGTTGAAGACCTTGGAAGCAGCGACTCTGCCTTACTCTCCCAGTACTCTCAATTGCTGTACTGGGTATCAGGATCACACTATTGAGTGGAGCAGTGACCTCTGTGGGTACTGGAATTGTGTGTATCATATATCATTGTATACAATGAGAAGTCTGCAGATTGCTTGATTTTATACCATTTTCAAGCAGCTTTTATACAGTAACTAAATAAGGGAAATGTAAAGGCTTGGCATATTTCCTATAGAGTCTTTGATTTAATTTTTTGCTCATCCTTCTACCTTAGCAGACTATGTATGAAACACTAACATTTTCTTGAAATTTTTCAGTTGGTTCATGTCAGTAGAAGCACTGGTTTACACTGTGCCTGATTCCTTACACCTGTTTCTATGAAATGATGTCAGTTGCTGTGGTGTTTCTTCAGTGCAGCAAATCAGTCTAATAATAAGCCATCAGAACCTATGGTTACTAAACCACAGCAATTCCGTGGTGCCATTTTCTGCATGGAGAAAAGTGCTGGGAATTAGTGTAATGAAAATAACCCTTAGCCTGTAGAAAAACCCACAAGGCTTACTATGTCGTGAGGTACTGCAATACTTCCTGCTTGTAACAGCAGTGAGCTCTATTATTAAAGCTCTGTCTCATAATGCCAAATACACAAGACTTCTGAAATGACTGTCCAACTTCTTGGGGTCACACACTTTTCACTGGCACAATACTTTTCAAAATGTACACATTCATCTAACAAAGGCATTATGGAAACAGAGGGTTATCAAACTCTTCCAAATATATCTATCTCAAACTGATGTACTCAACACATAGGAACTTTTCCTTTTGAGACATTGTTTTAAGTTTCTTTCTCCAGTTCCCACAATCAGATTTTTATTTACCTTTAACTTTGTAGTTTATGATAATTCATTGATTTTACAGTGCTTTCAGAGGTGCTTTGGATGGAAGTTATTCTTACTGAATGAATTTCTTTTCTACGTAATATTTAGCTATAGTCAAATTATCCACTGTATTAAATACATTTGTTTATATGCTCTCTGTTACTGGAAGATTAAGCTTTAATTTGCCTCAACTAATAAACCCATTATCCCTCTACTTGGGCAAGTTTATGTACATTCCTTGGGGGATTAATCTGTATGTGCTACCAATTTCTTCATTCCCATGGTTTGCTGTAATAGGATGTAGTCAGTTAGCTATAGTCACTTAGCTATTGCAAATGATGCCTTCTGTAATATCAAACTGTAGAAAGTTAAAGTTTATAACAAGAAGCCATATAATTTATTAGGCCAGGTCTGATGTAGTCAGACAAAGCCCCGTAAAAATTCTCTATCTCTTCTTCACATCTGAAATGAAGCAACATACTTCAAACAAAGTACAGAAATTGGTCACAGTTTAGTTTTGTTACTGTTAATCACTGTGACTGAGAGAGAAGGATAGCCAACATCTATGGAGCTGAGGGAGTTGTTAGTAAGGACAGAGGTGATAAGGTTAGTACCCTCTAGTGAGGAGAGAGAGAGGCACAGATTATTATTCCCTATGGTGTCACAAGGGTTAGCAGAAGAGATACTGCAAAAAAAAATCATATAATGTGAGATAAACTAGCCTTCTTACTGAGCTCTTGATTTTACGGTTTTTACTATCCAGCAGAATAATAAACTTTATATCCAGACTGCCCTACTGAAGATTTACAGTTATCAAAAAAGGCCACAACTGTTTCAAAATGAAGGAATGCTGACAAAAAGAGAGTCTATCATCAGCATTGAGGCTCTAGTGTCTCTAAATGACTTCTTATTAAGGGCATATTCATGTGCATGCTAGACTTGCCATAAAGACCCCTACTTTCTGATTCATATCTCAAAAGAAGATAACGGATGTCACTCAAACCTGAAATTAGGGCATGGAAGACACAGTCCGCAAAAGCAAGGATTCTGTGTGCCTTGGTTACAGAATCTGGTGAATGATAATATCTTCATGTTTGTGGTCATAAAGCCATCCAGAAATATCAAGTCTGGAAATTCAAGATGCCTTTCAAAACTTTACTCATCCAAAATGATTACTAACAGGTAATTTCTACAGACAGCTAAAACTTAAGGAAATTAAAATGACATAGTTTACTTAAATTTCACGTGAACAATACTACACAGATGCTGTTGAAACACTAAAAAACATTTCATTTGAGTGTTTTTATAAAGTTTAAAATATTAGCAGATCAGTGAATAACTGTCTGTATCGCACCACAATGTCAATTTATTTTCTGTGTTATTATTGCAGGTGATTATGTAGTCATGACTATATACTTCGACTTAAGTAGAAGAATGGGATACTTTACTATTCAAACCTACATTCCCTGTATATTAACAGTTGTTCTTTCCTGGGTATCCTTTTGGATCAAAAAAGATGCTACACCAGCAAGAACAGCATTAGGTAAGTTTTTAATATTACCCTTTTCTTCTGTCTTTGTGATGTTCCTATACTACCATTTGAAAGTGTAAGCTTCCTTTCAAAGAGACCACTGTACACTTTGGATTATTGCTACTAGGTCTTGCAGACCCAGATCTACTTATCACTGAAACCTCTGGTTCTCTTCCTGTAACAGGAAGAAATTAAAGAATTAAGAGTATACCAGTCTGACCCTTTGGATGACACTGCCACCTATTTTGCATAAATCTCTTGAATTAATATCTATCTCCTTGTTCTCACTATGACATCTTAGTGACATTTTTGAAGAATTAATTACTTGCACTGCTGGTTCCGTCCCTTCTGAAACTCTTCACCACAGGGAATTGTGTCTTATATATGCACAGAAAACTGTGGGATATAATAGCATTAACTCATGAAAAGTCTTTTAGATTGTATGCTTGAAGTTAGGCTTCACGCTGGGTATATTCATATTTTTCATAGATTGTGGAGATTTATGGTGGTTTAGGTTTTCCAGAAGCTCATTTATGTCAGGACCAGCCTGTGCATTTTGGCAATGTGCTTTAGAAATGTTGACTTAGACACTTGGAAATTTATTCTTATGTCTAAGGAAAACCTGCAGGTTTTGCCAGCATTAAGGATACAAGTCTATATAACTGCCAATTATAGGTGTACATCAGAACCAAAGGAAAAACAACATCTTAGTTCAGGTTGTGGTTGCCAGGTCTGCCTGTACAAACTGATTCAGAAATCTACCAGCCTAGGAAAAAAGCAGAGGCTATGTCAAGTTTTGCATGTCTGTTTTCAAGGATAGAGGTTACCATTCCCAGCTACAGATTGCATCATTCTGCTGGAGTTTGTTATGAGGTGGATCCATTTTTCTGGGGTTATTTTAAAAGAAAGGAGTATTCAGTCCTCACTTCTTTCATGTGAGTGCCAAAGTGCTGTTAAACCTTGGCTCCAGCAACATGACGGACCCTTAGATTGACAGTTACTCTGTGACGTCCAGGACAGCAAAAAGACCACAGAGCAGCTGTACAACTGCCTGTTTCTGGCTGTGTAGACTTGCTTCTGATAGCCAGAAAATTGAGCAATAGGTCTTTAGTGTACTTCTTTGCTGAACGCCTTTCTTCTTAATTTGGGTGGCTCAGGGGAGATAAGGAAAGACTGACCATGCTCCATCTTTTTAAACAGGGAGTCTGAAGCCCCATGTGTGGGCAGAGTCACAGAGCATCCATTTGGGTTATCCTTCTTAATGCATAAGAGAAAAGAGACCAAAGACATCTAACAGTTTGCATTACTGATTTGCCATAAGCAGTGTTCATATCCTGTTCCTGACGGTGGTTCCCCACACCACACAGCTCAGTTTTCCAATTAATTAGACAGAGAAGTAGGTTAGATCACTAATCACTTCACTCTCTCAGCCAGCAAGAAGTTCAGACAAAAATGTATTCAGCTGTAGTCATGAATTTGGAGTAAGAACATAAAAATGAGATGTTCCAAGGCTATATTCAATGGATATCATGACTCACTGCTAAAACTCCAATGGAGAACTAAATTAATAGGCTAAAATACAACTTTTCTATAAATGAAGTCAAATAAAAAATAAATAATATATACATGGGTCACTTTTTGTGCAGAGTCCAATTGTTTCCAAATTAGCAATGGCCTGTTGATTCTTCAGATGCAGTAAGCGGTTGTTCCTATTTTACTGTAGGTCTGCTTGTATAATGCAACTTATAAATCTGTCTGAGCAACAACACACATTCACATTTGGTTAGTGGCACATGGTGAAATTGTGAGTAATACAGCCAAAGGCAAACTGCTAAAATTTTCCTACTAATTAGTTGAAATTAATTGTTGACTCTGTGCACCAAACCGTATCCACGTATAGCTGCATTAATGTAAAGGGCTAGCATTAGGGAAATATTTCACTGTCTGAAATTAATGAATAATTTCCTAAGCTATTAGCAACTACTCACGGTTATATGAAGGATAGGTTTTACTTTCTGAATAATGTTAAGTAATAAACTACTTCTGTGCTAGGGAAAAAAATTAATTGGGCTATAGGACCGTAGGTATCCTTTCAGCAGTACTGTCCAGAGGCATCAAAGCGCTCTTTAAAAACTTGGCATCATAGTCCCCTTTTCACATGCACTTTGAGGGACCAAGGTCCAGAGTGGCAATGAGACTAACTCCAGGCCACCTGAAAATTCAGTGGGAAAATGAAAGTAAAATTTGAGCTTTGGATGAGAACTGTGTTTTGTGATCCCAGGTTATTCTGGTCTTCATTCAAAGACAGGGAAAAAAAAGGGTCTCTTCAATATCTACTTGTCTCTAGTAATCAGAATGATCTCACGAAGTTCATAGTGAAGAACAGCCAGCAAGTGCCTGAAGAAAAGTTATGAATTGGAAAAGAATATGTTGTTTTCCTTGAGGATGAAGGGAATTAAGTTAAACTGAATCTTTCATCCCAGTTTCCCCCTACTTTTCAAATTGGGTATAATGTGTAATAGGACCAGGAAGTTACTACAGGGCAACTTCAAACTGCAGTTTAAAAATGTTTTCTTGCAGTATATATACCTGCATCATTTGACATCCCAGACAGTAGTTTTTGTTTTATCAAATAGCATCTTTGATATGGAATTTACTCAGAGAATATAATGTACTCAGAGAACAAACTTGTATGTTCATACTTACACTTTCTATCTGAAAATTCTGAAATCAGGTTACTTCAAAGCTGTCCTTGGATGATATTAAAATTCTGTTGGAATAAACAGTTCATGAGCACTGTGAATTTCAGTAACAGATGCAAAGCTCACTTTGTGATACGTGACTCCACAAAGTGAGAGACTTACCAATTTCATCTGGCAAGACTTATTGCATTTGAAATTACTCAACAAACTGAATTTTCTTAGCATGAGACATAAAATGAGCTAAAATGAATCTAGATATTATATTTGGAAATAATGATGTTCCATTTTATTCATACATACATATCTATATTCTGGCTTGTAAATGCATAGGAATACGAAACTATCATCTGGTGCACCTTCTTGCCCTTTCTTCTCTGTATCTAACCCCAAAAACTCATTTTAGTACTTTAAGATTTGTGCTGGTGTGCTAGATATGAAATTGATACACTAGATAGAATTTTCATTATTTCAAAAACTCAATGTTTTTTAGTGGTGTGAGCTAGAATCCAGTCGAGCATGATTTGAGCTGGTGTTTCATTCAGGCTTAAGGCATGGATATAGGATGCAGGCTGAGTCGAGGACTTAAATACTTAAGCACAGAGGGTCATGGTAGTTGTTTTTTCACTTCTCTGCCTTCCTGTCCATGGTCAGTTTGGAAGCTAGTCATAATTACAGATACCTGCACAGATAATGCAGTTATACCTCCATTTCAGTAAAAATTGAAGAAAAATATTCCACTGTCAATACAACATTCAGAAATATTGCAGGCTTTTCAAAAATGCTTTTGAGCACTGCAAGGGTTTTTCTCCCTTTTTTCTCTTTCTAGCCTTTTAATAAAAACTGTCCTATTGCTGGATGAGTGAGAAATAAAAACTTTTATTTGAGTCCAAGTAAACAGGACACTGTATATTGCACTGGAAGAACTCTATATGTTTTGAGGAATTTTTTAAAGGTAGCAAAATACCTGAAGACAGGTGCATGTACATGTGGCTCTGAAAAGGACAAATTTGTGTTAGAAATCTAAATGTGAGTTAGAAATTCTTAAAGAAGTTCATTTTATGTTGTAGAGTATGTCATAGTCTGGATGCAGTTCTTTCGAAGTTAGTGACTCCCAAGGTCATACAGAAAGACTAATAGCCTGTAGCTAATAAGGACCAAATCAAGGCCAGTGAGTCAACACCTTTTGCAGTTGGACATCTTTCCAGTTGTCTACCATGATGAATGCCTAAGCATGGTCTTTGGCTCTGGAGCTTTTTCAGAGCGTCAGCTAGCTACAGAACTGATGTTGAGGGGTCTGGAGAGGTTGCTGGATCATGGCAGCCATGTCTGCTGATTTTGGGAGGTGGCACAGATGTCAGGAAATGGAAATATTTTCCCAATAGCTTGTAGATGTCCAAGGTACACACAGTCCATACTTCCCACTTCCTGTCAGCATTGCGTTAATCTTGATTATTGACTCGTGGGTTTTTTCAGAAACTTTTTGTTAGTTTGTTTCTAGGTAAGGGATATTTAAGGAATTCAATTACTTATTAATCATTGTAGATGAAGGTTGAGACCTGGGCAGTAATCTCCCTTCTGGCTTTTCCAGGGAATTTCTGTTGGTTTAAATGGAGAGGGTTATTCTTGTGAATCATTGTAGCTTCTATCAAACGTTACAAATCAGAGAGGGACAAACCTTCATAAAGAGAAAGTACTCAAAAGTAATCCACAGGTACTTCTTTCTTTCTTGAGTGCTCTTTGTGAGAAGTAATTTTACTATAAGGCATAATTTCATTCAGCCCTTGACATTTCAAATGCTGTGAACCATTGTGAAGTATCACTTTAACTATAAAAAAGAAAGATTACCTTCTGGTTATGTTGTTTGTAAAGCAGATTCTCTCTTGAGATGTATTTGAGTGAGAGCTTTATATTTTTTCCCAAGCCATTGAGAAGTTTTATTTTTCTTCTGTCAGAAGACTTACAGTTCACAACAAATGATTAAAAGTATCAGTCCAAGCTGGGAATGAAAAGACTTCTGTTCCTCAGGAATTAAGAGAAAATATATGAATCACTGGCACTTACATGACTGACATGACATAGATTTAATTCTAGGACTAGTTTTATTGTTTTAGATATTTCACACTAATTAATTCCCATTATATTCATTATTACTAAATCAATCTAAGAAGTGATGCTTTGTATGAATTAAAAAGGCTCTTTCCATTAATGTTACATCTGAACATTATGTATGAGAGTCTTAGACTGAGCAAGTGACATTGAGACATTTCCTTACTCAGAAGGAAAATAGCGGTGGAGGTCTCCCAAGGAAGCAGTGGTGTGAAAACATACTTTCAGAATTCATGGTCAGAATTTTGCAGCAAAATTTCTTTTCTTTTCTCCCTCCACCTCTTTTTCTTTTTTGAGTACAAGATTTTTCATGAGAACAATACTACTGCAGAACAGATTTCCTTCATTGTTTTCTAGATTTCTTATTTTTTTTATTTTTCTGGGTTTAGTATCTTTTCTGTTTTATACTTTTCTTGAAAAAGTTCATTCTCTCCTTCTCCTTCACCCCACCTGCAATCTCACTGGGATCAGGAAAAGCACAAGATGAAGAAGAGCATATTGAGAGGCGTGGGAATGTCACTTTTGCAAAGATGAAAATAAACTAAGAAAATCTTTGTTTACAAAATAATATTGGCTCTACTGCTGTTATTTTCTCTTAGTTTTTAATTCTACTAAAGGAAATTAATTAATTACTTGGGTACATTCTGGATTTGTTTAGTATGTTTATTTCCAAAGATTGTTCTGTGATACGGATAAATGGTGTTGCATACAATTAAATCAAGTTTCTCTCTGCAGGCATCACTACAGTATTGACCATGACAACTTTGAGTACCATTGCAAGAAAGTCATTACCCCGTGTCTCCTATGTCACCGCTATGGATTTGTTTGTGACTGTATGCTTTCTATTTGTCTTTGCTGCTCTGATGGAGTATGCCACGCTCAACTACTACTCAAGTTGCCGGAAACCAAGCTGTACTAAGAAGAAAAAGTCGGTAAGATGGGAACATTTAAATTTCTTTTCATATGCAGTTCAGAGAGTGGATAATCATTCAGTGATAGCCTGTAATGCCACGACAGTCCACTCCTCCAAGATTTTCCCAGTTTCCGGTGTGATCTGCCCTGAAAGAGGACGGAAGAGTTACCTCCAATAACAGTAGAAGCAGTTATGTGCCTTCTCAGTGAGGTCTGTTCCTAATAGAAGTAGCCTGCTGACCATGAAGCAGCAACCCTACCTACGTGTCTTTTGTCCTCCATTTACTGTGCTGGTAATCATAAAGGGCTCCCACTGAAACAGATTGCATAGCTTGTTATACAAATATATGCACATCAATATATATTCAGTGCATTGCTATTTCATGGTTTAACAGGTCTAGAAATATTTATGAACTTCACAAACAGAATTTCCATGTCTCTACTGGGAACCAGCACTTTTTTTAGCCCTGTGCACAAAGGCACATGTTCAAAAAAAAAAAAAGGAGGTCACTATACATGGCTGCATTTTTGGCCAAAAAACTACTTCCAAGTGTAATACCCAGAAACATACAGAAGTTGTTCATTTACAATCAATTAAAACAATCATGCAAGAAGAATTGCCTGGTATACTTCATAACTGACTATGGGAATGAGAGGGGGCAGTTTAACAGAGACAAAAACCTCAGTGTAAACACAGGGAAGGGGGTTCTCCTCTCAGGATCAGTGAACACATCTTATGTGTTCAAAATCAGTAATTGAAGATGTTGGATGTTATTGTACATAATGGAGGAAATAAGGACATTTGAAATCAGAAATCTAAGCCAAATAGGAAAAGTGTGAAGGAGGAAGAGACAGAAGGCTAAATTTAGGGAATAATAGGTCATGAGATAAAAAGGGATTGAATGAAGTGCTATAGAAAATGATTGAATGAAGAACTAATGAAGGAAAAGTTGAAACAAATATGGTACTAGAAAAAGCTGAGAAAGCCACAGACTTAGTCAATGAAAACTCCATTAAACCTATAATAGCTTTTTGTAAAATGTGTTGCACACAAGAAGCAAGAGTGTTACCAAAGGAAAAGTATGAGACAATCAAAATGAACTTGCTAATGATCAGACTAAAGTTGCCATCCTTTAGAAAGACTGAATTAGAAACTCATATCTTTGTTAGTAGGATGTATTTCCAGACATGAATGAAGATGAGGGAAAGCATGCAGAATTGATTGGATTTAAATTAATACCTGAACAAATGCTCACTTAGCTATTGTTTGATAGATAAACAAACGTAATGATTTGAGTAAAAATTTTAACTGTATGGAAACTAGGTGCACATTCTGCTGAGCTTTCAAGTTTTCAAGTGTACAGATTATTATGTTGAATATACAAAACACAATTATGAAGTCTTTTATGAACAAATGCATTGGTTCAAGGAATGCTATTGAACTTAGATGCGTATGAAGCAATAAGTATGTTTTCTTCTGAATAATTCTTTTGCTATCTTTCTTTAAGCTACCTGATGTAAGTTTTGGTCATGTGATGGTAAGTAAACTACATTATTCAGTGAGAGCATTGGGGGTATGAATTTGTGGTTGACATTTACTTGAACTAATTCCCAAGAAATCTGTGTTGCTATGTTATGCTTTACCCTGACTTCACTATAAATATTGTTTTGCTTTTTTGGTAAAAGGTCAGTGTGTTTTCAGCTGCGGCAGAGGAACATAGCTGCCTCTTTCTATAAGAACTTACCAAGTGATTTGGGAGGGAGAAGGGTCAAGTGTAGAACATTGTGTGTTATTTTTACATCAGGAATTTTGTGTATCTGCTTTATATAACACTGCAGCTTCTTATTACATTTTATAAAAAAGTAATAAGCTCAAGTTATGCCATAAACTTATACGGAGTTTTAACTAAAATAGTTCATTTATGCATATCTGCAAAATCTTTAGCAAGCTTGCAGCTGGATTTTCAAATAATTCAGGCACACAAGTTAAATACAATTAGTTGTACTATATCTAGAAATGGAATATGTACAGCGGCAATAAAGTTGAAACAGAGCACAAAATAAGTGTCTGTAAGTTGTATGAAATCTGAAACTGGAATGTATGCTGTAATACATATAAATATAAAGCATACAGAAACATACAGAAGGTAAAGTTAATTAGCTGGTTGAATGTTATCAGATAAGAACAGAGTCAGAACTGAAACACTGTTTTTTGCATTTCTTGGTTGGGATATGATGAAGTTTGTAATTTACAACTGCTAGCTCCATGTTACTAGCCCACCTTTTACAAATAATATTATACAACTTCTTTTTTTAATTTGAGTTTTCTGATGTATTTGAAGAGCTTGTATAGCTTTGAAAGTCTGCTCATTGAAAATTAATGTTTTCCAGAAATCACTGTATTTATACACTCTCTACTGATGTCATTCCTTTGACAGAGTTTTCTGAAAGATGAAGTTAAAAAGCCACATTGAATGGGTAGTGGCACTTTACTTTTTCCAATTAAAAATGATGAGGAAAAGATACACGGTTAAAATTACATTAGGGTTTAACAGCCTAGGGTTTAACTAGTCAGTCTGATTTGCTTGGAAATTATCTCCAGCATTTTCAAGTTTCTTACTCACTCTTTTCTTTTTTTCATCGTGACAGATATTGAACAGGGCCGTTTTTTTATACATAAACAACTTCTCTGTTCAAATTATAGCTTAAATTGCTAAAAGAAGCAGTGTCTCTGGCTCTTAAGACATCATTTTATCGTTTCCATCCTTGTAATGATGATACCTGAAAGATGAGATTTACCAATCTTAGTAAATCCGTGTTCAGGTAATCCCACCTCTTTTTTTTCCTCCTGGAGAACACATTTAAATCTTGTCTGAAATAATGGTATTAAGCATGTTTAACACTGCATCTGAACTGCCTTGTCCAAGGCAGACCACCAGGGTGGGACTAGGCTGATGCCCACTCTGCATGCACTACTCTCCTACCAACCTAGCTCAACTGGATACACAGAACACAGCGGGGACTATCCACCTTCTCCTGGTATTGTCACCTCAAGACACTTCCTGGCTGACAGAGATTCAAACAACCAGATTAGTCTCTCTGTATTATCAAATCCACAAATGTATCCACAAATGTATCCACAAATGTGGATAGAGCCTTCCCAAATCTTCGTTCGCAAAGCCTAGCCGTGATGATTATCAGGGCATTTATTTTATCTGCTGTCATGAGCAGATAGTTGATATAACAAAACAACAACAAAATCCCAAGGCTACTGACAGACGAAAAAGTTTCCTTTGCAGAGCCAGAGCACTTATTTATCTTAATTTACCAAAATCTAACTTAGCCTTTCTTCTTTTTGACATAAATATTTTAGCCAGGCATGGAAAATTTCAGTCCCTGAGTAGGAAATTTTCATAAGACTTGCAATAAATTTACAATATGTGACCCAGGGGTATAGCAGAATTCCACGTATACTCTAGTCATAATTTTTTTCTCCTCGAAGTGCTACAGTCAAAAAAAGATTGCTTGTGCAATAATCTTTTTCACCTAGCTCCTGCTTTTTATATGGCAGGGGTTGAACTTTCTAGGAGAAGAGGTGGAACTTGGTAGGAGCATGTAAAATAGAATTATGTAGGGTAGAACATGGGACAGGCTTAAACATATAAGGGAACATGGGACATTTAAGGAAACTACTGCATTGCAGCAGGATTTAACCAATGGGGAAACAGGATTTTAAGTAAATAGGGAACAATACAAAAATAGGGAAAATACAATAAACTCTCAAAATGGGGAAACCCGATGTCGCAACGATTATAAAACAGTCCAGAAAATGTCAAACAGAGGTTTCAGGAACTTCATCTCCGTCTTCCACTCTCAAGTTATCTCTCCATTTCTGATAATCTCCCTCAGACTCATCTCGCACATGGCAACACATTGTAAGACTCTGAAATCATCCACCCAGAACTTTACAAATGAGAGAGAGGACCATAAGGGTGTAATTTCTGTCATCTAATCTGAGAGATTCAGTTATTCACCACAAATAGATTTGCAATAATTTGCTCCTAAACTTCAATCTCCTTGCAGTCCATAGCAAAATGCACCTGAGAGATTTTAGCCGTTTACTTACAGTGAAATGAATTGTGTCCACAAGTAATTGACTGGATTCCATAGGGCAGTTGTTCAGATGTAGTTAATCTATGTTGATACCAACACATAAGCAGAGAGGTGCCACATCCAGTTCTTAGCTCAGGGACCAGGATTTTTAGTGAGATGGGTAATATTACCATGTGCCAAACCCAAAGAAAGAAAATGAAGTCAATAGAAAAATAAAAATTTCCGCTGGGGCACATCAGTCATATCATCGATGTTTTTCATATCTGGCATGAAAATTTTCAGATACATTCCTGTCAACAGGAAATGCTGAGTACTTTGTATAATAAGTGTGGAGGCAAGGACCTAGAGCATCCTCCTGAATGCAAGCAAGTGTGACTTAGTGCATAGCCAGCATCCTCCTGCAGGCAAAGCTCAGCACAGTCACAGAGAGAGGAAGGGCCCCTTAGGTAGAGAAAACTGTGCTGACAGGGCTGGTGTCTGCTTGTCAGGGCGGTGCAGACAGGCAGCAAAGCTGATGGGACCTTTTCTAGTGATGTCAGTGGAGGAGGTGACATTTGTGAAGATTAAATGGATAGCTTAATGAGAAGGGAGACTATTGTGAGAAAGCATCCTTCCTGAAAAGAAAATTATGTGACAGAAAAGCTGACAAAGTGTAAATAGGGAGTACATTGAAGAAGGAGAGGTCTGTAGGAGCGAATGGTACTGAGAGGATGCATTATTAACAAAGTGTCTTGTTTCTGAGCATGGCTAGTGTGATAAGCACTAAGGGGACATGCCTAGAGATGACATTTTGAAATCCTGTACTGAAATGATCCCTATTTGTTGCTGACCATATCTGGTTTTATAAATCATGATAAAGTTAAGAGGCAGTGAATGCATCTATGCTAAGTGAAGGTCATTTTATAATTAAATGGAGAAGGGGGATATTTCCTTATTTTTCGGAATCCATTCTTAAATGTAGTGGCTGCAAATGTTTAAAACAACTTGCAGATAATGTTCTGACAGGTAAGTGAACTCATAAGTGTGAAGAAAATTATTACTGGGAAATATATTCTTAAGTTACCCAAGTAGGAAATACACCTAGAATTATTTAACTTACCACTCCACAATATCTTTACAGAAATTCATCTGAAAAGGCATCTTTTGAGGGAAAGAAAGATGCTCCTTAAATCTAGAATTCTTAAATATTGACCACTTATTCTCAGCTCCTGTGATTTTTCCCATGATTATTAATTTGGTCTTCATCATCCATGAAAGCTTATCAAACTGTTGTGGGTTTTTTTGTCTCTTCAGAATTATTCTGTACTTGATATGAGACCACCAGCTACGGTCATCACATTGAACAATGCCATGTATTGGCAAGAATTTGAAGATGCCTGTGTCTATGAATGTCTGGATGGGAAAGACTGTCAGAGCTTCTTCTGTTGTTATGAAGAGTGCAAATCAGGCTCATGGAGGAGAGGACGAATTCACATAGACATCTTAGAACTGGACTCTTACTCCAGGGTCTTTTTTCCTACATCCTTCCTGCTGTTTAACCTGGTCTACTGGGTTGGATACCTCTATCTCTAAATGTTGCCTGTAGCGGTGAAGACTGCTGTGTTTTCTCACTGTGGATGGATGGTGAAAGTGCAGACAAAGTGAAGGACACGGTCAGTTTCATCTCAAATTATAAAGACCACATTAACCTTCACCTTCTTCATCACCATCACAGAGCCTGATGAATAATTTTAGTATGTATCTTCCTCAAAAGGAAAAACATGGAAGAATTCTCTCCTAACTGCTATTCGTTTTAAGGAAAAAATTCTTACAAAATTCAGCTGAATTTGTAGTGTAAGTGATGTTTATGAACAATTATTGTATATTAGAATCTCTACTATTCTGCCTTGGCATAGCAGCTATTCACAATTCAGGCAAAGATTAAATGTGTCATTTTTATTTTTCATTCCCATACTTTCTTCAAAATGCTGTCATATCTCTGAGGCTCAGAGCAATGTACGCTGGCATTGGCAAATAAGCCAAAGTCAACAAAACAACTCATTTTTATTTAAATTTACTTGAGCTTTATCCCACAAGTTTAGGGAAATATTTCATTAGTGATCTCCTTGATACAGAGTAATCACCAAAAGACAGTAGAGAAATGTCTCTGGTGGGATCAAAACATGAATGTTACTTTCTGCAAAGGTCTGGGATTTGTGGAATTAGCCACTTACCTACACATATTGATTTTAACTTAAAGGTGAAAAGGCAGAGTGATAAGAAAGCTATTATTTTGATATAAATAACACTTGCCTATCTCTGAGACAGCTGTAGGAATAACTTCTACAGTTTTTCAAGCTTTTAACTGTCTTTTTTATGACTGGTTAAACACAGGATCGTCACTGATTTCTAAAGTACTCTACTTGAAGCAGGACAAGATTCCTGCTTGTTTGTGCCATTGTAGCAGGTCACATTTGATGTGCTATATACATATATATGTATACATATATATACATATATACACATATATATATATATATATATATATAATAGCACCAGGAATATGTGACTTTCTTTGGATTTCAATTTACTAAAAAGTGCACCCATGCATTCTTATTTTTTCTCTCAAAGTTGTTTTACAAAATTGAAAAGTGTGTGCCAAAGGATTTTTTTTGTTTATTTAATAAAGTTAAACACTGCAGTATTTACTCATGGCAGTTGTTCCCTGGGCCTGAGATGGAGACTGAACATCTTTGACTTGAATAGTGCGTTACAGGAACTCAATTGTAACACTTGGATTAAACATAGAATAGTTACCATGCATAGAAAGAAGTTGCTTTCATTCTTCTCCTAAATTTTCAACTATATTTTACTGTAAAAAGCAATTTTGTATTTTTCAAGCTTTTGACCATTAAATTCTTGTTACCCATTCTTTCAAAAACTAGTTTTACAGTGTTAAGCTAGATGACATCTTTCACAGACTGTCTATGTAATTGTTATTAAGCAAACAAAACAGATTCAGAATTAAATAGAAATAGCTTTTCACTACTTTTGGATGACAAGTGGTTACAAAAGATTGAGACTGAAACATGCCTAAAACCATAATTCTATTTCTTTTCTCTCATGGAGATATTTTTTTTTATAATCTCAAAAAATGTCTGTCTCTTCCACACAGTATTTGATAAAAAAATGAATGGTGGATGTGATTGAAGAGGAGTTCCTTTTTTTTCTCATAAGCAAAACCCTGCAAACAAGCAAAAGCTAATGCAGTGGTAATTCTAAGGGAACAGAAATGCTTTCATGTTCTTTGAAACATCACTGTCTGTCATTGCTGTTGTTCTGCTCTTCCATTGAGTTTTTAATTGAAAAAAGTCTAACAAAAAAGTTAACTATGGTTACTCAAAATCTTCTGGTTTTCACTTGTCTGAAATATCAGAGACATAGCTGGGTTTAGGCTAGGGAGGGGGATCACTTCTGTAAGGACTGACAAAATTCATATTAGAAGCACAGAGAAGAAATATTTGGAGACAGGATCTAAACCTTATTTTAAAAAAAATCTGCCCATTCAGATGTCTTCTAAGCCAATGATAACCTCCTCGTTTCAAAACATATGTTGAAGATTTTGCTAACTCTCATTAGCAAATTACTCTGTAAAATCTATTGCTCTATAAACCTCTGTGTTCTACATTTGGAAGTATGGATTTTATTTAAGAATGACAGTGATATTTTAAACCATGCAAGAAGATGATTGAATTGGAGTTGAATATACTGATCTCTAATTATGAATTAATCTACTCTAATAGTCACCTTCAGCCATATTTTGAAAGAATATTAGAAATATTCCAAGCCTAAATAAAAAAATAGAAAGAGTTTTCCTTTAGGGAGCTGATCCTGTAAACCCTCTGCACAATCAATTGGTTTTGGTGTTAGCATTGAGAAAAATGACGCACAATAAGGTGCCTTCCAGCATTAGATCTTGAACAGTTAAAGTGAGGTTTATTTAACAATTACATATTTGAGTGAATACCTCAAAAGTAAGTGTGTAAGTGGACTCTTCCCATTTTAGATGATAAGCATATGTTTTTCTTACACTTCTGCTCATGGCTGCCCATGAGTGCTACTGAAAGCACGTTGGAAGACTGATTCTGCTAAGTCCAGTCATGTTGCCTCTGTTTTCTGAGTTTTCATAAACAGAAGTTGGAAGCATATGATTCCACTTTTTTTCCACTGTCCTGACAAGAAAGAATCTGCAGACACTTCTGGCTTCTGCTCTTGTACTGAAAGCAGGAGATATATTCTACTGTGTAATTTATTCTGCTTCGGGGTTATGTGCAAAAAATTGATTTATATGCAAGTTAGGTGGCTGCAGGCCGGCAGGTTCCTGAATGCATTCCTCTGCTCATTCCTAGTTACTTGGTTTACTCTCACTGCCTCTGTGCTTTGACAGCCACTAATAAACCTTAGAGGTCAGGGAAGACAATCTTTCTAGGCTCTGAATCTTTCAAAATGCAAGTATTCTAGAGACCTAGATAATGTGGTCTGCATATATCTATATGCTATATCCTTCTCTAGTAGTAAGAATGTCCTCATTAACCTTCAGGTATTCTTTTGCTTCTTTCACAAATTGAAAAAACCCCAAACATTTTTCTGCACTGTCCCATATGAAATGCAATAACTGCATTTTAGAACATTTTCTTAGTGCATAATTTTGTATTCAAGACTTGCATTTACTCAACTACTTTTTTGGTTGTTGTTTACTTCTTATTTTTATCCTTCCAAGGAAGGAAATGGAGGAAGGCAAAAATAAATGAGCAGTGAAATGAATGCATTTGGATATATATGTAAAATCACAAACCCAAGTATCTTCACATTACAGTCCTTCCTTGTTGAAGTTACAGAAAAGATTGTGAGGATTTTTTTCCCAGTAGGAACTAAAGTCAATCCTCTTATTCTCCCCCTTCAATTAAAAGTTGTTGGACAGTATTTTCCTGCATTGAGGGCAGCATTTTCAAGGCAATTAAGAATGTATAAAGATACTGGTCTGCTTAACTCAATCTTCACAGTTCTTCTGGCCCTTTTACTAGCATACTAACAGCTCTATCTTTTATTCTCCCAAGAATAAGGGTATAAAAACTTGTAGCCAGTTTATGCTGTCTCCATGTCCAGCAGTAATGTGGAACTGAAGTGCACCATACACCACAAAATTTTAATGTAACTTTCTAGTCAAGAAATACGGATGCAGTTTAAAACATAGGCACTTTGGTAACCTTTCTTCTCTTTCAGATGCTAATGTTCTACTTAATCAACTCTTAACTGTATATTGGTATATTGTGCATACCAATAAAAATGATAAAAATTACAATACCCAGAATTGTCTTCATGGAGACTGTGATGAGTCGTGAAGGTAAAAAAAGAGAAATAAATTATTTTTTATTGCTGTGCAGTTCTTATCTGTCACAGTCCTTTTATTCAAATCAATTCACAGCTAATTCCAAATCATCCACCTGGAGGTTTGCACATTCATCAGCTGGAACAGCAATGACACATGAGCCTTTAGTTGATAGAAAATTATATTTTTGGAACTCGAGGCATCCTGCCAAATAACTCAGATAGCTATCTCAAACACTTCTGCAGCCTTAATGTGTCTCAGTGTCTAGCATCTCATGTTGCTGCATGAATTTATCACAGTTCACCTTACTTGGTCATTTCATGAAAGGAAGATTGTTTGCCTCCTTTTAACACCAATTTTTTCCATACATCTAGAAAGATTACGGTCCTGCCCACACACCAAGCAATCAGGTGCAAGGCAACTCTAGAGCTGCTGACTTTGTGGGAAGGGAGACTCAATATTTTAAGACAGACAAATTTAATTAGCCTCACAGTCTGGAGGGTTGGTGTTACCTTCTAAGCTGTAAAACAAAGCACCCACTGAAAGCTGTGAAGGCTGTCCATAACAGACTGTACTCTTCCCATTGACTGCTCTTTCCCAGTTTTGATATAATACACTAAGAAAAGGCAAGCCATATCCCATAATCTTAGCTGCCTACACAATCAGATGATTTTTTTTCAAGGTATCTTCTTCTTTCTCACAGTGAAATCTTTGTGCCTCTTACATCAGTGCCTTTATCATTTCTTAATATTAAAGGATATACTATTCCTCGTCTGAGAGTTAGAAAGAGGGACAGTGACCTTACCGAAGTTCTTGAGCACCACAGTGTGTGGCCAATATTCTAAACGTCTTCAACCTACAGACTGAGCATTTGCCTACTTTTTATTTTTCTAAGCAGTCTGTAGGTTTCTTATTTCCTAAATATTAGGAAAACTGCAGTAGGATTTCAGCAATTTAGAAGAATCTTTCCTTCTTCACTCAGCAACTTCGTTCCACCAAGAGATATAGAGCATAAACTCAAGGCTGATGTTTACTTCATCCATATAAGTTTCCAGAAGACTATTTAAAATAGAAAAAAAGCAGACTATTCAATGGGAATGCAGTTCTACAGCTGAAAGGTGAGATTCTTTTTCCTTTAGATGTTTTTCTTTTTCTGAGTTAATTTTAGGTCTTTCCTCACTCCACCTATACAAATGGCAAGCACAAAATTAGCTCAATTTACAGTTACATACTGAAAAAAAGTATGGTTTCATTATTCTTATACTATATATTTTACATATAGTCTAGGGAAATTCATTATGAAGTTCAGTGCATCAGAGTTGGACATCTCTACTTGCTATCAAAATATGCATTTTGATCTTCTAATCATTTGTTATTTATGAAGGACAAGCAGAAGATGTGGTTATGTTTATTCATATGTCTAGGAGTAGGCTTTCTCAAGGACTGAACCAGGCAAATAAGGCACTGATACAGTCAGTTACTTGCCAGGTATTCTTGATCTAGGTAATGAATGGCACTAGACAGAGAAGACACAACAGTCTCTTTGGTGTCATAAAAGCACTCATGTGACTTTACTTGGAGCCCTAAGACAGCCTGTAGAGCCTTTTATAGGGGAACCCAGGTGCTCTCCTTAGTGTTTAATACAGTACTTAATATTCTCCTGTCTTGCAGCCGGTGAAAGTCCTTGGGAGAGATGAAGCTGTCCTGACGCAATATATGCTAAAATACAATGAATGAAATACCCACAGTGAAGCAGATGATGGCTTGTTACTGAGACTGTGTTATGAGTACAAGTGTCAAAGAAAACACCACTAGATCTAAGTCAAAACCTTACACATTAATGAAGACCATTGACCGGAACATGGGTTTAAGTTCAAATATTCTTACAAGCAAATAGGAAGAGCATTGGATCATATTCTGGAGGGCTTGATTATCCATTGATTGGTTTCAAAACTTAAGTACACTGGATCTGTAACTTAAGTACTTAAAGTGAGATTTGTGATTTACATACTTAAACTGAGGACTAAGAGAGGTAAATGCTAAAATTTCTAAATTGCACATTAATATAAAAAGGATGAAGTGAATAATATTGATGGTATATTTTTAAAAAAACTACTGACAAATGAGTATGGAACAGATCATGCTACTGAATCCATCCCATGCTTACAGACCACCTGGGATTCTTAAAATGAGAGTGACACCTGAACTCATGGAAAGCTGATAAAATAATTCCATCTGACAGTATTACACAAGCAACCCAGGGATGTATGCCTCTGCCAGACAGGGTGTTCCAAAGGAAAAAAATTCAGAATAAGCTTCCACAAAACAGTGTTCAACTGAACAACAGTCAGAAACCTTGTGCAGAGGGATTACAGTATCAGTCTGCCATATTCTCTTTTGCAGTCATTAAGGAGTCCCGTGACTTTATTGTTATCCACACTCACATGCAATACCAACCTTAAATCATGGACCAACCTGTGACTGTCACAAGTTGGAACACTAGCCTGGAGGGAATCTGAGACCAGTTTGTGGCTATCACAGGCTGCCATCAAACCCCTCATAAAATCCTGTTCTAAACTCTCAGTATACTGCTCTCAAAACATTTTTTTCTCACCATGACAACACATGATTTTTTTTTTTAGAGTGCAGTTTTAGGAATCACATAAATACTGCCAACTATGTGCCAAATTGAACTTTCTTATAGAACACAGACAAAATTTTAGATTTCTAATTATCTTTCCTTCCTAAGTTTTTCTTAGGGGTGTGTGATTTCGTTGCTAGCAGTGCAGTTTGTGATGTCATAGTGAAATGAAAGTACAATTATGTGCCCAATGTGCCTTGAATAATACAGGTAGCACTAGCACCAGTATGTCATTCTAAGTTAGATAGCCATCCTAGTGATCCCCCAGACTGATCTAATCAGAAAAGTCAAACACCCACGTGCTTCATTTCCTCAAGTTCACAGATGACTTTCCCTTCTTGATCACATCCATTCCAGTTTACTTTGTGTTAAGGAGTAGGGCTGTGCGTCTAGAATACTATTTATATTCGTATTTTGATCCCAACATTTATATTTCTGGATACAAATAAATACACATTATCAGAAAATGCAAGTATTGCGTGCATGTATTGGTGGTTGTATTTTTTTATAGAAGTTGAGGTCTTAAGAAAATAGAAATAGATATCTGAAAATTTGCTTAAGAGAAAAGGCACAGTGTGTTACCTTTCCAACAGGGTATTCTCGAAAGGAATTTCAGGAGTCCTCAAAAGTATTTTCAACAGTGAGCACGAGCTCACTGAACTCAAAGATTTGAGACTGCAGTTTATCCATGGGGCTAACATAAAATGGGAAGAATAACCTACAGAATCCAAACAGAAATCCAGAAATAAGTTGTGTCTTTTGCATAAACTGCAATTTGGTTTCAAAACTTTCCCAATCCCAACTTTTTCAGTACACAATGACATTTCCTTGTAAAACTATAGTCTGTATTTTCACAAGACTGTCTTCTTGAATTATGCTCTTTGAATGCAATTTAATTCCTGCCTCTGTACATTAATGAACACAGAATTGTCAGTCTCAACCCACTATGACTGTGAAATGCCTACTTCATTTCAGGATTCCAGTCCATAGTAACACTGGAGGTGACATCTGGGCCACAGATAATGCAGAAACTTCCCAGATTTCTCATGTTCCAACAGATTTTCCTATCTGAGTTTGTTATATTTTCTGTATGTTCCTAACAATAAGGCATGTTTTCCCAAAAGACATTTTATTTCACAAAACCCAATTACTAGTACTGACTTGTCTACTCAAAAATAAACATAGATTATGGACTTCCCTAATAGCAGCTGACATTTGTTATAACAGTGCTAGAAATGCAGTAACCAAGTAGATGTGATTATGCCTCACTCCCCAGGATAACTAGTAAGCATAATCGTTGCCATGACTATTTTCCTTCTACACATTAGTCATTAACACATGCCATTGTCACAGTGTGAACACAATGCCAGCTCCTCTCCCTTGCAAAACTTGGTCTGGAACACCAGCTATATTCTTGCAATTCATTCACATCGACCCTTCCAGAGGTTTAAGGTGCTCATCCTGCCAAATTCAGAAGGCTGTGACACATCTTCCAATTTAATAACATTTCCTGCCCAGTAGGCTTGACTGTGCAATAAAGTATGATGATGAATCGTACCAATAAGTTCTGCCTTTCTGTGTTACCCTCTGTCTCACCACCACAAATCTAGTTAAGAACTGAATTACTGCTTGACAGTTTCAGTTAAAGTAAACTCAGTTTTTGAAATGGAAAATGAGCAAAGTTGAACATCAGGGAGCTATCCAGAAAATAAGGAATAAATGGAATAGACATTTTCCTACTGACTGATATTAGAAGACCACTGTCACTTAATAGCCATAGCTAAAAAAACTCACATTTTTAAAGTTGGTTTATACATGGGAAGCACCAGTGTTAGCAATGTGAAATACTTGATATATGCTAAAGCTTCACATGCAGCAATGGGTGCCAGGATTTCTTTTTATTTATTAGCTTGCATGTTTTCTTATTTTTGTTGTAATTTATATTCCTGTAGAATGTAACAGAACTGGCCTTAAAAAAAGAATTTTTCATGTAAGTAAAATCTGGGCCAATGGGAATTTCATTAGCCCATCCTCTAGTTTTGGGCAACCAATGCATATCATGGACATACATTTTTACATCCTATAGTGTCTTTAGATGCTAGATTGTCAGAAGATAGACCATATTTATAGAGCAAGTCTTAGTAACAGTGTCACAGATCATAACAGAGCTGAAAAGATACCCCTTGATAAGGTGCAGCTAGTCTTCTGCTGTCTTGCTGTTGTCAGGCAGGAGTCAAAGGTCCACCAGATGACAAAAATAAGGCAAATCAAGAAAAAAACAAACTTTAACCCTTCTTAGGTAAACAAAGAAGTTCTTGCTATCCTGTGTGGGTTTTTTTACATGTAACATCCACTTTTTTCCCTCCATACCTAAATAGCACTGCTTAAGTCAGGTTAGAACATTGCTGTTAGGTATTGTCACAGCAGTGAGGGCACTGAAGCCTGTGCCACCCCTGGTACCATGGTCCTGCATGTGTAAGGACCAGGAGGGAAAACAACATTGAGCACTGAGTCCTTTAGAGCTTAGTGTGATGGTCACCTAAAATACATGGAGAAGACCTTAAAACACACAGGAGTGGAGGTTGTGACAGTTCATCCATAAGGCATCCTCAGTGAAAGCAACCATAAATACATTAATGAATGATTAGATTTTATCAGAAAATATGAGATTTTAATACATTTTAACTGTAGGTCAAGGCACTACAGAACCGAGTAGAAACCAAATTGACAAAGTTCATATTCAGTCAAAATTTTGTGCCTCCCAAAGCCCAAGACATTCTGTTTCCAATATTTTTTACTAAAAAATACTGTTGTTTTAAAGATACTCATGCACTTTCTACTGGAGAAAAGTTGGTAAATATCAGGTCAAATGCTTTGACCATTTTTTTTTTATAGAACTGTCCACTCAAAGCAATGACAAATATAAAAGTTAAATGCAAAATTCCCATCGACTCTCCTTCTTTCTATTGTCCATGTTAGCTGAACTATAAATGAGAACTGTAATGCTTCTTAATTGATTATGCAGAGAATCTATCTCAGAATCACTCATAGGATTCATACTACATGTATGCTGTCATTGGTACACATTGACAGGACAATTAACAACTGAGTATCTTCAAATTCAGTGAACTATAAACCACCTCATGGTCTACTCCTAGCACTTATGTTGAGGATTAAACAGGGAGAAACCTCATGGAGTTCAGTAAGAGAGCAGACAAACCCCATGCTTCAACACAGGCTGGTAACCAGCCCGCGGAGCAACACGAGAAGCCGGTGGGGAGTGCAGCAATTGCCAGGCTGAATGCAGGGTAACAATGTGTTCTTATCACAGCTCATGCAACTCTATGATGGGCTGTGCTATGGCTGAACTCTGCAGATCAAAGGAATTTATTATTGCCTCGTGCTCAGCACTGGTGAGTATAGGGTAGTGATAAATACACTGGGTTTGGCAAGTCCACCTTGCCCACAAGATCAAGGGAGACGCTGAGAAACCAGAGGGAACCTGTTAGACAGCTCCTAAGATGGTCAGGGGCCCAGAGCAGATGTACCGTGAGAAGCTGAGGAAACAGAGCTGAGGCTAAGGGATGTTCGACTTGCAAACTACAGCTACTTGAAACAGTAACAAAGACATTGAAACCACACTCTCAGCATTGCTGTAAGATAGCAGGGGTCACATTAGGGGGCCGAGGTTGGAGATGCAGAACAGCTTTTTCACATTGCAGTATTGCAAGAAAGCGGCTGTCTGGGAAAGCTGTGGGAGCTTCCTCCAGAGAGGCTTTCAAGACCTGGCTGGATAGAGCCTGGCCTAATGGTGGTAGTCCCCTTCAAGCATGAAGTTGAACTAGATGACCTCAAAAAAACCCCCACATTCTAATCAACATATCTATGATTCTATAAAAGGATTTTTTCACCATTTACATCTTCCATAAATATTCAACTAGATACCGTCATGGTTTAGGAATGGTGTTTCCCAATTCAGTGCTCCCACTGAAGTCATGCTGGCACTTGTTTCCCCTCCCCCTCCAGCTGCAACACAAAAGGCAAAGATCATGGGTTTAGATAAGAACAATTTATTGGAAACAGCAATGAGACAAGAAAACTAATAGAAACAGCAACCATACTAACAACAAAGTGTGCAAAGAGAGGGTGACTTACACGACAAATGCTCACCAAGCCTGGTACAATGAAAACAATGGTGGAGGGCTTCCCTTGGTCCACACACTTTCTCATGACCAGCAAGGAATGCTCTTCTTCTTGTAAGCAAGCATTCCTTTTTTCCCACTCCTGGCAATGCGGTAAGGTGTATTGAACAACACAATGTCTTTGCCAGAACTGAGACAATACGTAGTGAACAATGACATAACTAAAACCAACATATAAACTATCTGCTTTGGCATTTTTCATTCTCTGAACAATTTGTCTTTTTATATAGCACATAAACCATGTCAGGAATCACATCATGCTTTCCTAGTGAGACCTCTCAATTCCATCCAGAGAAATGGACTTTTTTATGACTATGCAAAGTCACAGTTTGGAAATGTCATTTATATCAATGGATTTTTAATGTATGCTGCTGCCCCAGCTTTGTCAAATTAAAGAGTAATGTTTATTATGAAGCACCTGATACCATCTGAATCTTATTTTCTCCTTGTAAATTTGCAAATTATACTATTTCTATATTGTGTTGTACAAAGGAAAAACCCTAGCTGCTTTTATTGGCAACATACAGGCTACATCTACACAAATCCAGACTGCAATAGGCAAAAGTATTAACCTTGAACATTGAAATGCATGAATGAGTAACAAGTTAAGTGTTACAGAGGTTCTAGGTGTGGTTCACTGTGTCTATAATGTGGGAAGATACTTCGGTGTATGAAAAAACAAACTAAAACCCAACATCTCTCACAACAAATTAATGTCATTTCTAGCCCTTATGGTAATGTAGGGTGTACTAGATATTCCAAAGTCATTTCATCAACTAGTGGACAACAGATATTTTTTTTCAACCTCTTTTTATGTTACATATACAAATAAAAATAAAATAACCTCTATCTGCCTATGTTTTGCAACTAATGTGGTTGCATTTATATCCAAAAGGGTGGAAAAATGGGTTCTCTACAAAGTTCTTGTACGTGCCTTCCCTTATGACCATGTACAATACCAGTAATTCACAAGTGGAAGACTGTATGGGTAGATGAACATAAAAACTTAGCAGGAGGTTAAGGCATTGAATTTTGAGCACATTTCTAGCACATATCTTTGGCTCAAAGGTTGCCACTGTATCTGTGTTGTGTGTGTAGACACATTTGCTTAATAGAGGCATTGAACTCACTAGTTCTACATGTGTGAAACAAAGTTAGATTGAAACTGATGACCATATGAAGACGGTTCCAGTACAAGTATTAACTACACACATCTGTGGATAAACCTACTGAAACAGCCACACTTAGCTTTGTGCAAATTAGATCACAG